CTTTTCATCTTTTGGACTCGCTTCGTTAACTGTAAACTAATGTACCTATTGATGAAAAACAGCTCGTACTATCATCATTTTTCGGCCACGGTAATTTTCGAAAAAACTCAATCCCTAGAAACTGTAACAGCGCTATTCCATGCACTTTGTAAATACGCAGATATATTTCTTTGATGAAGTCCAGATGATAAACTGATACTAGTAAGTAGTTCTCAGTAGTCGTAGTAGAGGTGAAATCATTTGAATATATGAGATCAATTGCATTATCGACCTTCATCGCTCACTTCTCATATGAGAAAAATTTCACACTATGGCGTTTCGACGCCGACTTAGAAAAATCCTTATTTTTACGTTTAAACACATTGTTTTTTTCAATTTCAACTCATTTAGATGCTTTTTCTTTTAGTTTCAAAGCATTGCACTCGCCTTTTTCGTTGTTCGCAATGCATTCTTTTTTAATTTAAAACTCTATTTAAAACACCGTATGAATGTGTTTTTGAGAAATATGAACATAATTTACATTTTGATTCATCAAATAAATGTAAATTATTCATCTTGAGTATGCCATACTGAAGATATTCATATCTATGAATCTGTTGGAAAATTTGTCTTCTTTTTGGAAGAAAAGTGCTGCCTTAAAAGTGAACAAAGCTTCTTGGACGAGTTCAATACATTTAATCGTAATCTATTGCTTTATTCAACGAATTACAGCAATTGCAATGTGGTTATTAACAAAAAGTTAGTGTTGTCGATCAAAATCTGCACACTTGTCTGCATATGAATGATCATTTTTCGTGATTTTATGTATGATCTTTGGAAACATGAATAGTTAATGCCCGATTAACGAACCATTCTTCTATAGTTGGCTTCACTTTTTCTATCCATTTAATATTTGCACGAATACGTTCGATTGATGCTTGAATTTCGATATCGACAGCTTCCTAAATAATGCAACGTATTATATATTAACTTTCGAAAAGATCAAACGCAAATAACTTGATAGAAAATAATTTTAATGAGTTTATATTTACAGTATTAATATGCGAGGAAAGATGTATGATTCTCTTCAAATTTGGCGAACATTCCTATTCCGTGTTTTCTAAAAGTTTCTTTTTAACTTGAGTAAGAAGAATTTAATAGTTTAACTCGATGAGCGGGCACTTTTTTCAAGAGTGTATCAGGGTTTATCTAGATTTTATCGGATTGGTATGTTCATTTTAGAGGTCAGGACTCGTGTCTAGAATTATAGTGGTAAGTTAAAAAAAATTGAAAATCTTGCAAATGGGCCCAAAGGAAGAAAGGCAGATTGGATCGTTGGGACAATCATTTACTTCTATCTAACGCTGAAATTCTCAGATCTGTAGCTTGTTCCTGAACTGAGTGACAAAGCTAACTTTGCAACCTAACTTCAAAAATTTTTGCAACTTTATATTCTTCAGAAAAAGTCTTGAATATCTCAACATTTGTTCTATAGCTGGAACCCATAAGCATACCTAACTCTATCATTCCTGAAACTTTTGTCTTTGATCAGTGCGATTTGACGAAAAAACAAACCTTATTTTTTTGAAGAAAATGACTGTTATGGCTGTTATAAATACCATACAAAACCTTGAAAGTCGCTTTTTTGTTGTCCAACAGCATCGACCAAAAATAAAATTATCAGGAATGATACAGTTAAGTGCACTAATGAATTTCCACTATAGGATAAGTCTTAGGAATCCCGTAATTTTTCCCGAGAGGGATGCAAAGTTCCGAAAAATTCAACATTTGGTCATAAAGATGGTTTTGTGATTCGACTCAGAAACAAGCTACAGATTTGAGAGTTTCAATATTAGATAGAGAACAGTTAGACAATGCTAAAGCACTAATAGAAATCGAAATTTTACTTAAACTTCATGGGGATAGTTGAGTTCACTTCGCGTTTGAAACCCAGTCCGTTAAGAAAACAGTATAGATATATGGAAAATAAGTTATATATTTTAAAACAGGAAATTAAGATACTGTCGTATTGTGCCTATCAATGGACAAATTATAATCGATTTCGTTCTAGGCTTCACAAATTGCTAGAGCTTCTAACCCTAATTATTAAAAGTTACATGAAGTTCTTCTAACATCTCAATCGTTATCTGTTATTAGTGAATAATCACAATCAATTATAATTCAAGTCAACTTAACAAAAGATTTCTCTTTTTAAAACTATTCTTCTTACTATCCTGATCATTGAGATGTTTGCAAGGTACTGTACTGCTTTTCAAAATATGACTCTCATACTGTAGATATTCATCAAGAAAAAGTTGGAAAGTGTCTCCTTCAACTTTCTGTATGCGCTTTTCATCGATCAGAAACAGTGATTTTTGCACTGGAGAAGTATCTCATGAGTAGTATATATGAGAAGTTAAAAATAGCATGAACATTTAACATATTAATTAAGGAGTTTCTAGATAATTCATTTTACTTGTGAGTTCGAATTAGATTTCAAGTATTTCAAAAGTTTTAGAGAACTGTGATACTCATAGTAAGATGTCATCAATTGCCGAGTAATTAGTGACGAAAAAATTACTAGGTTACTGAAAACGGAGAAGTCCTTATTTAATACCAAGGGTAATAATATTTCCGTTTTGTCGTGACAGTTATTATCTAATATCATCGACGGATGAATTGTCATATACCTAACATCTCTTTTTGTGACTGATTGCTCGATAGTTAACAGCGTTTTCTTTACTATTAGCTGACAACGTAAATCTCCAATAAAGTAACTGATCCTTTCTGTCTATAGACTTTATTGATTTTTTCTAAAGTTTGTCCTTTGTAAGAAGTTTTGGAAACACAAAAAACAATGGTTTTTTTTATAGATCAGCCAAAGCCGATAGATTTGACAAATATCTGGAGTTTGTTGTCATAAGAATATAAATCTGAAGCTGTTCTCTATTTCCAACAAAGATAATTTCAGGTCATTTGATTAAAGCATAATAGATAAAATCAATGTTTGCTTTTGAGAGGTGAATTTTACAATACCTTTTCTCAATTAATTTTCATTCGTCGATAAAAAACGTCAAAATTAAAAGTTCTCTAAAGTTATAGATGAAATTCAAATAATCATATGCTTTGTACTTTTCGTCGTCTTAAATAGATCTTTCTTTTGCAACAAAAAATGTTATTAGCGGTTTGAATCGTTTGAAAAGCACAATTCGGTCTTTAAAACAATAAAACAAAGAAAAACGTTGATCTTACTTTATCTGTTATATGTCCAATGAACAATTCAAGTTCGTTCAATGGTTATGCAGTATTAAATTTTTCTGTATGATCTTTAATAAATTGATTGACCAAAATTTTGTAATAAATATTTTCATTGCGAACGTACATATGATCAACATTAATTAATAGCTATTGAATTACGACAAATTAATCGTATTCCAGAAAAAATATCCTGTCGTCGAATAAGATTTAGAATTAAAATGAATTTCGAGTAAACATCGAATTAATCGAATGTCTTATGTACATGTTAGAGCTAATTGTAATCTAGAAATTTCTTATGAATCATTTGCTGTTTTATATTGATGAAATAGAAATGGAAATAAAGTACTAATACATAAACGCATATTGGTACAATAGACCATTTCTCGACGATTTGATTCAATTCTAGTATTCGATGGATGATCGAACCATTCTTGAAAGAGTTGTCGAGCATGATCAATTCAATTCTTCAAGTCATATCGACAAGCAGTCGATGAAATGTATCGATTCATTTATCAGTCATTGATTTGATCTTTCCAATCAAAATAAGTATAAATTAGTCGAATAAGATCAATCAAATACGAACGTCATTGTTCATAAAAATGAAAATTTATATAGCTTTCTACAATCATTTGTTTGATATAGTTAATACTAGCTAGAATACGTTCCCAGACAATACACGCTCATTCCGAATGAGCATAGTTAAGCATATTGAATACAAATGATAATGGTAGAATATCTATCAAAATAGATATAAAATTTAATTTAATTTTTTTAATTAATGACAGCAATCATTTGTTCTAGCTAAATTGAATAGATCATCAATAAGACCTGCTCTTTCGATTGTTGTGAATTTTTCATGGTCGTGTTTAAGTTGTTCAATGATCATTTGCCAATTTCGTATATTATAATTCGTACGACAAAAAACTAATAAATTTGGATTTATTAAAAGCCACTCATTCGATTGAACACTATTATTCATTGGTATATTGATTTGTTCTTCATTGAACCATATTGTATTTGATAGAGATGATGATAGTGATTTGAATTAAAATCGAATATACCATTGATAATTATAAGGAGATTTTGATGGTTGTGCTTTGAAATTGAACATGAACTGATGTTGAGTAATTGAAATAGTACGTGTTATTTGCATACTAAGTGGATGCGAAAATGAAATGGCATCATCTTGCATAACAAAAAGTCATTGTTGAGCAATGTATTGTTCGTATAAATCCCAATCAGAAAATATTTTGTTCGTGACTGCATATCACATCCGTTCAGCAAATGCTTCATTGAGCCAGAAATTTTTCCACCAACTACATGTAATCAAATTACCGAACCATTGATAAGATAGCTACATGTAAAGGGACATTATGAAAAAGAAAGGCTATATATTTAAAAGATTTCTAACATGAAAAATCTCATATATTATACCCCTAATTCACATCTAGTACTGCTTGGTTTTTCTAAGTTAATAAAAAAAAATTCCTTGTTTTTTTTTTTTTATTGAAAATAATACCAAAGCATTAAGATTAGTTTTAATACTAATGCTAATCTGATATATCTAATCTATTTTGAAAATAATAGGTAGTGTCATTTTACCTTGTGAGCTATGGTCAATGCTACTACGTGTTTGTCAAGTGATGTTGATGTATGATTGTTTTAGAGTAGTCGTGTTTCACTCTAGATAATACAGCCAAAATTTTCCATGCCAGTTAAATAAGAAGACAATCATTAACCATGAAAATACGATTTCAAGTAGTTCATCTACCCATATTAAAGTTTGATACAACAATATAATCACATGTGGTCAATGGATAATTGATTTGATATTGTTCTTCAAAATCATGAATATTCTTCGTTGCTATATCAAGAGCATAATGTAAATCATCTTTTATATCTGGTTGAGCACATACACTCATAATAATATTTCTATAAATACCTGTGTCATAATGAGATAAACAATCAAAATCAGCAACAATCAGAACCAACAAGTATGAACTTGATGGTATTGATTTTTTAAAACGAGTCAATATTAATCCATTGTCTAGGTAGGTTTCATTGTCTATGGGTATATTACTGCGTGCACGATATTGTGATTTATGTTTCATTGTCAACGAAAATGTTGCTTTGAAAATGGGCTCATCAAAACAAGGTAAAGCTCACCGTGCTGAAATTGGAATGATTTATAAAGGAAGAAAGTAACGTCGAACTTGACCAGATGATTGTACATAGGAACTGAGAAATAATCCGTCAATATCATTGTTCAATTGGCCAAGATTATTCAATGGTAGAATTGTTTGCATATTTACGGGTAATGCTCGATCCAAAATAATGATGTAAAGATCATGATCTTGATTGAAGATTGTTTCGATTATAGATACTTCATCGAGAATTTCAATAGGTTTCTGAATAGTAATAGAATGTTTGTGTAAAACAATGCGATCAGTACAATTAGTAATAATGATATGAATGCGTACTGGGCCATTGAATAGTGAACGTGCAAGATTATTCGTTATGTTTAAATATGGTTTTATATACAGATCATAATGAAGAGGATTATCCAAGGAAGGAAGTCGATGGTTAATATAGTAGGCGAATCATCCATCGATCGAATAAATGCAATTATTGAAGCGATATTCGCTGTATTTCAAACGATGGCTGTATTGATCTTATCAAGTGAAAGTTGAAATTGACGATAGACAGTATCTTCAAATAACAAGAATGAATGATCGATCGATTCAATGTTCGGCATAGTCCAAAGAAAATCGATTAATTTTACCTTTATCTACGATTGAATCAGGAAAGATTTTAAATTTATTTAGTTGTCGAATGGTTACAAATTGACTAGTAACTGCGTCGATAATATAATTCAAACTGTAATCGATTTTTTTCCATATTGAAAATAGCTGTGACCAATTTTCTTGAACCCATAACCAAGCAATATGATTACCATCTGGTGAAAGAGCTACATTTCGAATTGAACGTTTCACATCTTGCTCACGAATAATTGATTCATTGTTTAAATCTTGATTGAGAGACTAAACGATTCTTGATCGATCTTTTGTACAAGCAAGGTCATCTAGTAGACTGCATATTTCACTGGGCACTAGCTCATATTCTAAAGAATTCCATAGAAATTCAAATTATTCATGAGAACCTTCTCGAACCACAATACAATAGACAATCGAACGTAAACTAATCGGTATAGAATTTCGAGCAGGATTTAAATACTAACGTCGATAGATGCTTGACGCCAATCTGTGGATTGGTTTCCAACTAATACTATTGTATAGTGGCAGAATCAAATTGAGAAAATAACATTGTACTTCAGGAAAAATTTCATTATTACTAAGTAAATTTTTCTGTTGATTTATTGCCGATAATGCTACTATTCATGAAACAAAATCAGATTCTTTTTTTAGATAACCAATCAATCGATAAGCATTGGTTATCTTGATTAGAAATGTATGTGATAAAGAAAATGTATCATGAATAAGAGCAGCTCGATTAATAGTTGGAATGCGTGTATGATCTGTTTGAAGTTGAGTTATGATGAGATGAAAACTTTGTAGATCATATTTCGTTCAACAGATGCCGACATAATTCGGATTTGCTAAAATCTAGTCTGAATCGAGTGTTGTTATTGATAAACGTGTTGATGAACTATTGAGCCAGATGGCAGGGTTATCATTTGATAGCTAAGAAAACAAAAATTAAATGTTGTATAAAAGTAAACTATTGAATACTTCGAATGATGTTCGATTGAAATATTTGAATGGAATCCATCATGTTTCTTGCTTTGTTAGTGATGGTAAAAGATTAAATGATCGTTGCATAATCATTAATTCATCATCAACTCTCTGTTGTTCTAATTTATGGACAGTTTTTGTATAAATTCGATTAACTTCAACGATTGGATAATTTGCCTGACGTGTCCATCCAGTCATAATATGTTCTACGTCGATTATATTGTTTGTAGCTTCAGTTAAATATCGCCAAAGATCTTGTTGTGTTGCTGAACTATAACTGAAACTTTTTGAGATAAGTTCGAATATCGCGTTGAAGTGTTTCAGCACCTAAAAACATCCTCATCGTTCGAATGAGTGCTGCACCTTCGTCATAAGTTATCATATCAAATATAAGAAATATATCGGCTGGCTTTGTCGATTCAATGCGAATCGGTCGCGGTGTTGGCAATGAATCGATTTCCATGAAGAAAAAAAAATTTTCAATAACAAATAGTTCCTCTTGCTTCCATAAAGGTTCAATAAAGTCTGATGCTACTCTTTGCATATAACTAGCAAAGCTTTCCTTGAGCCATATATACGATTTGTGTGTAAACTGAAATCAACAATAGAAGAATTAATCAAAACAAATAACTTACAGTTCGCCCCACCAAGCTGATGATACCAAATTACCGAACCATTGATGCACTATTTCATGGGTTAAAATTGCAGTTACATATTGTTGTTGTGAAGTCGATCCTATGTTCTCATCGAAAAGCAAACCATCCTCGACATCAATTAATAAACCTAAAATCAAACATTGATAAGCTTTTTGTGATATTCCATTTACATGTGTTTAATATTTTAGACGAAATACAAATATTTACCATAGTTTTTCATGGCAACACCTTCAAAAATAGGTGCGACAAAATGTTCAATTGTTGGAGTAAAATGAGATAGAATTCGATCATCAATCAATATTTTCGAACGTTCAAGTTCTCCATTTGCCCATACAACATATGAAGCATCATGTTTGACACGAATGTCAAATATAGCTTTACTTGAAGGTTCATCAACACATGGAAGAGCACTTCGAGTATATGTTGGTTCCATTTGTGAAGTTAGGGTGTGGGGGACTGATGTCATTAACGTCAACATAATCACTTAAGTAGAAGCCTTCCAGATCACGTTCAATCTAAGCCGAGTAAACAATATGAATTGTATAGAAAGTTTTCGATTGAAAGTTTAACATGAAATTCATTATCATGAACTGATTATAATCATCATAAGACCATGAACGAAAGATAGGCAACGAATTTGATGATGAATAGACAATGGCTATAGTTGAATTGTCTATATGCAAGTCTATCATATGAAGAATTAATTTATTTGTTGATTTAAGGCACGTAAATGTATAGAGAAGATCATCTATAAATGGAAATGAAGGAAGGCAAATGATGACGGAATTTATCATTCAATTTAAAAAGAAAAGATGGGTCAATAATCTGATTTCGAAGAAACGATACAGTACTTTGTATTTTTTTCTCTTTTTCAGCGAAAATGACGTTTTTTTCGGTCTTTAGAAAGAAAGTATATATTTACCTATGAATATTTCTTCGATCAGATCAGGCGTAATAGTCCATTGATATAATTCTGATTTCAAATCAGTTGGTATTCGTTTTACAGATCGAGAAGAAAGCAGTGCAATTGTTAATTCAGTTGCTATTGTTGTTTCATTATGATCGCGAATGCTTGTTGATAAGGACAAAATTTCATAATTCGTAATTGTTTTTGTTTGTGGATGAACAACAAAAGCAATAGTCAATGAAGTTAAAACTATGACACTAGTTATAGTTAAAGACAAAATCAATCAAAACTCTTTTTTAGGCATATGACAAATATTCGACTTGATCGTAGTTTCATTCAAAACAAAAGATTCTATCGATATTATAATAGATGCTCTAATGTAATAGATTATACCAAATTTTATCAAGTAAAATTGAGTTAAGCATGTGTATGAAGCAATAAATTGCGTGCAGATCTAGTATCGACGAGTATTTTATAAGTGTATCGTTTGGTCTTGAATTCAAGTTGACGAATGTCACTATTATAGAGATGCAACAAAAAAAAAAGAATTTTCCAGCAAAAGTTCATGATTAAAGCAATATGAAATATACAATCATTTGAATAAAATCTAGATCATAAAATGCCTACTCTGGTGTTTGTTAATCGTCGATAATGAGTGATATCTCAAAGCTTCCCTATTCTTTTGCATTTTCACAATAGTATACAACGAGATAGATTCATAAATGCACAAAGCTTTCAATAAAGAAAAAAACATGAATACAATTGTTGGACCTATTCTCTGTTGATTGTTTCTAATCTCTGAAGACATTTATATTGAAGTGGCAATAAAATGACGTTTGATAGTAACCATATATATACTGATTTTGTTGGCGGCTTTATGTTTTAGTAAACCATTACAGTTCTTATGATATGATTCGGAAAGATTGCTTCTAAAAAATATGTTTACAAGATGTAACAAGAGAAAGGATCGAAGAATGATATTTTCATTTCAATGATTTTTCTATTACCTCATGAATTCGAAAATTTCTACAGTGACTCCCTGATTAATGGTTGATTGAGGTGCATTTCAACGAGAGATAACTCTTTAAATAATAAAACATATAGGTTCATCGTAAGGTGAGAAAATCTCTGATCAAGTTCCATTAGATGAGAATCTCATTATCAGTTAACGTATTGAAAATCCTTTTCTCATTAATGAATATTATTTTTTAATCGATTAACATTTGTCTGTTTCTTTTTGTTGTCCAAGATACAAGTTTAGTGTTCAAATCTTTGATGTCAATGACATCTGACGATCTTCTCGTTACTTATTTGTATAAAAAACATCTTTCGAGGTATGAAACTCGATATGTGTTCTCATTTGAGATTTTATGTGATTCTTTGTTTAAACAATCGCTTTTTGAATTGTGGTACTAATCGTGTATCGTTCCGTAATGACGATTGCTGTGTCTCGATTATAAATTGGAAATGGTCCCGAAATTTGAACTGAAATTTGCTGCCAACAAAATGATTCGTGTTGGTATTAACAACCGACGTAGAAAATATCCATCATTCCCCCTGATCAATGAAATAGCAGTTTTGAAGAATAGATCGAAAATATGGGCGCATGTTAACTGTAACCCTCATTCACATAATACATCGTTTCCCTCTGAGAAGCTAACACAATTTTTTTTGTACTATCCTACCGATTTTGAATTTCATATGCAATGCAGTTCACTACTCATTATTTGTTTTGCTTAGTTATACAAGTAATCGTTACATCCATCGAATGTATACTTTTGATAATCCTTCTGTCTTCCAGACAGTGTGAGTGTGAGTGTAAGTGGGTGCGAACAAAGTGAAGATCCACACAACTGCACCCTTTTTAACTTTTTTACATGTGCAAGACTAAAATGATGATAATAGAAGATGCCATTTCAGAGAAGAAAGTAAAGTTTTTTAAAACTGTTGTTAATCTCGGATTGAAGAACTCATCTAAGACACTTTTTAAGATGAACGAATGTGAATGAGAATTTTAATTCGATTTTTTAAAATATCGTTCAATCTCGTTAATGTCAAAGTAGTAACAGTCAGGCCGAAACAAATTCTTTGCTTTGGTTTCAAAATCCCAATGATTAGAGACATCTTAGGCGAATCATGAAACTTTTTTTGCATTGTTTCGTTTCCATCTTTATACCTTTTATGATTTTAGAGGATGGAAAAAAAATCTTCTTCACAAACAACATAGCGCAAATATTTTTTTTGAGCTTTCTGTTTTCAAATTTCCAAAAGATTGTCGGATACAGACTCTACGCCAGTTTTTTCGAGAGCCTTGTAGCGTTATTGATTCACTTCACATTGGGGTAGATGTCTAATCACATAGGCATAAATGGAGCAAATGTATAAACTCAATTAGTTTTTTTTGCTAGATATCATAAATTGAGATTTTCTATGACTCATCGTCAACTTTTCACATAGAGAATGGGTCCCAGACATTGATTCACGCACATACACTGGCAGTCACAGCGACAGTTTTTTCATTGATATCGTATCTAATTCTTGACCAAATAGTAGAATTAAGGAAAAGGTTTTTTTTTTAATTTCTTTATTTAGATAGAGAATAGAAGAATATTATATCGTTTGTCTATATTGGTCAGTAGGTGTCGGGAAGAAGATCTCGTGGCATCATGGTCGCTCTGAATGGTACATATCTTGTTTTGCTCTAAAACAATAATGAGATTGTTGTTCTTTGGCGATGTGAATGGTAATAAGTGGCTGTGAATAAAAAGTGTAGAAAACCTCTACGACGTAAATAAGTTTTTGGTGCTTCTTGGTGGATTACAGTTTGTTTAAAATGTCACTGTGGAAAGGGAAAGAGATGGTTTTAACATCTTTGGTCATTTGCCAACTTGAAGTATGCAAAATTTCACTAATCTTAGATTGCTTTATATGGCCATTTTGTTCGTACGTTTGTTTGAAAACTAGAAAGATCCTTGTGGTCTTCAACCGTGATGCACTTATGCTTGTTTTATTAATATCAGTTGCACAATAAAAACAAACAAAATGTGTAATGGATCTTACTTGGTTCGCTTTGAACATGTTCGTAGACGACTTGTCATCGAACTAAATATTCCAAAACAGAATTCAAGATGAGTAATGCAATTCTAACATCATAATATATATAAGAAATATTGTCAAACTGTTGAAACTAACATGCAGAATAGAACAAGTACGACTTTCCATTTAGAAAACCAATTCTTTTTATGATATTAAAAAAGAAATATGCTGTTTTTACAATACAAAAGAAAGTCAGGAATATTTTTTTTAGATTAAGATTACGGTTGTCTTTTGCCAAATTCTAGTGCCAATTTACGCAAATTGATTGTTAGAAAGCATGTATAAGATCAACCGAAGATGGTTGACTTCTTATCAAACACTCGCATCAAAGTTTTGAAAGATATTATCGAATGAAATGATTAATTATTATAAGCATAGGTCAATAGTGATTAACCAAATGGAGTTCAATCTAATACTCATTTTTTTTCTATTAATTTCAAAATACAAATCGTTCGTCTATGTTTTAAACAACACAATGGAAATTTGTATGAAGCTTTTTCTAGATTGCCTCTAATGTTCAATATGATGATAAATTCTCATCGAACCTATTTCATCGCAAATGAAATTAACAACTACTTTACGTACGTGACTTCCTTTTGTCTCATATGTTTGCGTTCTTCTTCTTGATTTTGCCTGCTCCTTTAATGATCGAAACAAGATACTAAACTATTTTTTTTTGTCTTTGATATTTACCTTGGTTCTGGCAATGCGATTTCGATTTTTCGTCAAAAATAATTTGCGAATCCATTCAGCTTTTTCGATTTTGCTCTCCTCATCTAGCCTATATTCAAATTTTGAATAATCAGGCTGATGAATTTACTAAATATGAAATAGACATTACTGTCTTTTCTCTTCTTCTTTCTGACGTTGTCGTCTAATTTGATCTTGATCTTGCAAATAGTTCAGTCGACGATGTGAGCTTTGAGAGAGGATTCTGCCTTCTTGATCCATCTATATTAAAAAAATTAATTAAGCACATACATATACATTCTATATTTACATGTTTAAATAGTTTTCGACTTACTAAATTCATCTTTTGCATATGTTTGATAAGTTGATATTGTTGAAAATATTTTCTTAGATGCCGATCTTCAGTCGAATCATACGTTTCGAAAGTATCTCTGGAATTCTACAATGTTGATGGAATATCTGTCCACTGTGAAGATGGCTTTGTCAAACTTCCGGTATTTCGTATATCAGCTAGTATAAACAAATTTCAAGACAATAATAAGTTCGACATTTTCTTCTTACCTGAGACGTAGTTTTCTTTCTTTAAACTTGAATTGAGACGAAGTGACATTTAAAATGAAATAGATTTTATGATCAAATTTGGAAAACAAATGAACTTTAAAAAAACATTCAATTAGATTTATCTCATTGAAGTTCAAAAGATTGAATGATCCAAAACTAGTAATCATGAGTCTCTTCATTGCCGGCTCATTTTAATTGAAGTTCTTCTGCTTCTTGCTTTGTGCCGTTCCAAAATCCGTACGTATTCGTATCGACAACTTCGCCTCCATATTGATCATGTTCTTTCGTTTTAATGCCAATTTTCCGAAAAAACCCATACATAGTCCATTTCTTCTCTTTATCTATTGTTTCTATTTCTGGATCTTTGAAAAAGGAAAGCAGTCCAAAATCTTCACCAGTGCACACACATTTGACAAATTGGGTACTTAAGTCGGTCTGATCCTCAGCATTCACACATTTGACGCTGATGCCGTCTAGTAAGAGAGCGACACCAAACTCAGCTACTTGTTCATTCATGTATGATTTCTCTTTTGCTGTTATTTTGTGCGGTATTGATTCTATCTTACAGCAATATAATGCACAATTTTTCTTTTGAGAATCTGACTCTGGTTCTGTCGCTTCTATTGGATATTTCGTTTCAGCAGATATTTTTGAAATTTGAAAATGATACATTTCAGTTAATTTGATCGTCATCTCTTGTGTTATATGCCACATGTCGAACATAGTAAACATATTAGCAATACGTGTTGCTATATTTATTTGACGAATTTTGTCAATATAATTTAGCACAGAGCTGACTACTGCACCAACTTGTCCTGGCGCACTGCCGAACATCGGTACAAGTGATAATGTTTGACCGAGTAATTCAAACACCATTGCACTTGTATTCAATTTACCGCCACCGCTAGATGGATCCACCTTGCCACTTGCTATGGCTTCGAGAGCGATACAAATGTTTGCGATCTTAACAATTAGTCTTTGATGAAAACGATACAAACGTATGTCTTCTTGCTTGAATTGTTCTATTTTTGAACGTAATAACTCTGCTTTGTCACTAACATCAATAAGTATCTTCAATAGATCATTTAATTGTCGTACTTCTTTTTCCATGTTAGAAACCGTTTCTTGTAGTTCTGGATGGAGATTATTCTGATGTTGCAACATGCATATATAATCTGATAACATACATTTGACTTGAGGTAGCTGCTTTTCTTCTCTTTTGATTTCTTCACGAATGCTGTCAAAATTATTCTGGAGCATACTGTTTAATTTCTGAAATCCTTCTTCAATCAAATTTTCTTGTCCCTTAGCAAGAGCCAAAATCAGATGAGAGATACTGGGCATCGG